GTCATATATAACTAAAAAGAATTTTAAAAAAAGTTTAACTCCTTTTGAAGGGAAAAAAGTAACAAAATGTCCTTTAAAAAAAAAAAAAACATGAAGGTAAATAAACCAGATACAGAAACATATAATAATTGTCATCCTATTTATAGCAAGTTCAAAACAAATGATAGTGTTTGGGGATCCATATTTAAAGCTATAAAGAAAAGCAAGCAATTAACAGCCAGAGCTGTCAAAAGTATGGTTTCCTTTAGAGAAGAGGAAAGAGACTGTGATTGGACAGGAACCCACAGGGATTTCTGAAAGCACTCTATTTCTTGATCTTTGTGATGGTTTGCATGTAACTTTTAAGCCCTATATTTGCATTTTATGCACTTCACTCCCCTTTTAATGTTATTTATATTTTGCCCCCCCCCACCCGGCTGTTTTAGGACATGGAGATACTAGGATCAATCTCAGGGTTTATTGTGAGAATGAAATGAAGTATAAAACAATGTAGAGCTCTCAGAATATGCCTGGGACTTTATGAGACCTTAATAAATGTTATCTATCTAAGCACAAGTTTGATGTTGTTATTTTTTTTCTTATTTGTTGCTAACCCCACCCGCTTTTTCATATTTGTTGCCAACATTTCTCAGTTTGCTGTTTATATTTCATTTCTAGCAATGCTATCTTCCGAATTATCAGTCTTTCCCCTTGTACTCTTTTTTTTAGAGACTATTATTAAAGTCATTTCTTTTTTTAAAATACCTTTATTTTTAAGGTTATTTTTATGTGGTGCTGAGGATCACACCCAGTGCCTCATATGTGCTAGGCAAGCACTCTACCACTGAGCTACAACCCCAGCCCTCCCTTTGTACTCTTTTAAATCTTTTAAAAATATTTTTTAGTTGTCTATGGACCTTTTATTTATTTATATGTGGTGCTGAGAATGGAGCCCAGTGCCTCATGTATGCTAGGCAAGTGTTCTACCACTGAGCTGTGACCCTGGCCCCCCTTGTACTCTTTATCATTTCTTCTAATCACAGAAAGTGCTGTCTAATCCAGAGATTTAATAAAAATATATTTTGTTGAAGTTTTAAAAGGGTTGCTTTTGAGCATTTGATTCTTTCATTCCTTTTATAACAAGCAAAATTTTATCTTCAGAATTTATTATTTTAACTGCACATATTTATGGGGTATATCTTGATAACAGGATTATTTAGCATTCCCATCTCCTGGAACATTTTTTTTACAATTTCAATCAACACATAATGTACATATTTTTAAGGTACAGTGTGACATTTAATTACATGTATATAATGTACATTGACCAATTGGACTAATTAATGTTAATTTTGTGTTTGGAGTCTTTGAACTCCTCCCTTCTAGTTCTTCATTAACTATATATAATAGGATATTGTGAATTGTAGTCAAACAATATGTTGCAAAACACTAGAACTTATTACTTCATTGTAATATTAAAGAAGAACTAATATACAATGATATAAAGTCTACATTATTTCTCAATTTTATCTGGAGTTCATATTTAGTGTCATGGGAAAAATAAATTGACCTTTTTATTTTTCCAATTGGGTAATGAAGTTCTCCCCACCACTACATGAAAAATTCATCACTCTCCCACTGACTTCTGCTGTTGTCTCCTCTTGCATATGTTAAATTCACAACCATTTGCACTAAAAGCATAAACCTGAAACTTGGTACTCTGAGTGTAATAATGCAACTCAGAAGTGGGCCGAGTATGGTTGCCAGGTAACAAGATGGATAGCTGCAATAAGGTGAAAAAGAGAAAGTAGAAAAAGCCTCTATCAAGAAAGTTTTCCTTAAAAACTCCATCCTTGTTTGTGGCACTTGTTGCTATGACATTTCTTTCATTATGTCTGCAGATCTTTAGTTTCCTCATGCATCATATGCATGTAATAACACATGGTGCTATGCAATGAAAACTAACCCAAATAGCAAAACACAGGCTTTGGGGTCAGTCAGTCCTGTGTCTCATCCCTGGCTCCGTCACTAAATACCTACATGACCCTAAGTAATTTTCTTAAGTTTCTATCTGTTTCCTTATCTGAAATATGTGTCAATTAATAGCAATAAAATTAATAGTTAATTAGAAATTGCATCACCTTTTCATTTCTATTTCAAAATGCCTGAAGAAAACAAAAGGAAAGGTTTATTTTGGTTCACAGTTTCAGAGGTTTCAGTCCATGGCAACTTGGCCCCATTGCTTTTGGGTATGTGGTGAGACAGTATATTATGGTGGAGGAAAGTTTATTCACCCATCCTGGTCAGAAAGCAAAGAGAGAGAGAGAGAGGAAAGGGCTGGGATCCCAATATGCCCTTAATGGGCATGCTCTCAATGACCTAACTTCTACCACTAGGCCCCACATCCTAAAGATTCTACCACCTCCCCATAGTTCCACAGGCTAGAGACCAAACATTTAGCATATCAGACTTTGGGGGACACTTAAGATTTAAACCATACCATAAATGAAAAATAATACTAATTCCTGTCTTAATACATTTAAAGGGCTTAGCCTGGGGTACCTGGCACATAATAAACTTCCAGTAAATCACAGTTGTTATGATTTTAATTTTTGTTGCCCTTGTGTTAGGGTCAGGGAGATAAAGAAGATTCAACAAAGGAACTAGGCACCAAAGATCTGGGAGAGGGAAGCCATGAGAGTGGTGTCATGGAAACAAGGGAAAATAGTATCAAGAAGAAGGGAGATAATGCAAAACGAGGTCACTCAAAGGCTGGTTTCTCCTGACCGGATGAAAGAGCAATTTTTATCTTCACATTTTAATGACTAATGTGAATGAAGGGAGAAGGGAGGGGAAAAACTGATAATTTTAAATGAGGAGTATCAAACACAAAATTCTCTAAAAGTCTTCTTTCACTTAATCTCATTATTCAACCCAGGTCTTCCATATCCTCTTTAAAGAAGGTACATATTTCAGGGCTGGAGTTGTAGCTCAGTGGAAGAGCGCTTACCTAGCATGTGTGAGGCACTGGGTTCAATTCTCAGCACCACATATAATAAATAAAATGAAAGTCCATCAACAACTAAAAAATATTTTAAAAAAGAAGGTATGTATTTCTCACATTAAGGAAAAGTCAATGTCACACAAATTGAAAAAGGAAAGTATCAGTTTTGCATCATTTTTTAGTAAAATAAAAATTCAGAGTTTCAAGTTTACACAATAGAAGAAGATGGGGAGGGAATAAAAGGGGATAAATTCCAGAGCAGGTTTTCAAAGCAACAAGTCTATATGGAACCTCGAAGTTAAAACTCCAGAGAAAACAAGTGCCATAATAGGGATAGCATTTTTTTTTCAACATGGCTTCTGAAATAAATTGTGGCAACATAAATGGTAAATCTGGGGAAATCATTCAATGGCATTTCTAAAGTAAAATTAAGAATTGGTGAGCAGGAAAAGCAGGTAATGAAATGATTCTAATGATTTGGGATAGACGAACTATGGGTGGGTAGATATGGGGGGGGCTGGGGAGAAAATAAAGGGCTATAAAACTATAAGAGTATTGGGGCCCCTGTGGCTTTGAGGGCCTGAGTGAAGCTGCCTCCTGCCTGCATGTGGGGGAGGGGTCCCCTTTGGCTCTACAGAGAGGGAGGTGCCTTCCAGAGGCCCAGAGTTGCCCCAGAGGAATTCATGGATTGGACCTTTTAAGCCATCGCCTCTGGTCAGACCTCAGCTAAGGGGTCAGAGGCAGAAAGGCCCTGCCAGTCTCCTTCTGGCCTTGAGGGTCAAGGAGGCTAAGGCTTAAGGCCAACATGGAATGCTGGGGGCAGGAGGGGGGTGATGGGCAGAGCACAGGAGGCAGAGCCTCCACCCCTCTACTAAGAGATGAGAGAGGGTCCAGGGGAGGGGGCAGTTGTAAGGTGAGATTGTGGGGGTAGAGGTGGAACAGGACAAGAGGCCAGGGAGAAGCAGAGCTGATGGGGCTGCTTCTGGAAGGAGAAGCAGTGCAAGGCAAGTTCTGGGTGTGGCAGCTCATGGAAGGCTGCATGGGTTTCTAGTAGCACCTGGCATCTCCTCCCTGGGGCCTCAGCCTGTACCTGCTTTGTCCCTACTGAGTGAGCCACAGCCTGCTGACTTATTTAGAGTCCCAGCACCTACCCTCTTCCCCTGCCCCCCACAGCCCAGGATCCTACCCTGCTTCCTGTTCCTGTCAATCTGGAGGTGAGTGCTGCTGCCTGGTCATCATGCCCTCCCCCTCCTCTTCCCTACCCAGATAGCTGGATGCTTCCTCTCCACAGCAGGCCAGCTCCCACTGCTGTCCACCCTTCTTCTCAGCCCTATTGAGACCAATTGCCTTCTGGATAAACTGCCTCAGGTCCTCATGTCAACATTAATTTCCCTCAGCTCCCTGTTTAAATGAAACCATCCCCCCATCAGTCTGATCTTGCTCAGAATAGGGACTGATGTACCTACAAGGAACATGGATCCTCAGGGACAGAGGTCAGATGTCATCTTTCATCACTCTCCAATCTCAGGTCAAGATACAGGGCAGGGGCATGTGTTCTTTCCAAATATGAACAGGAATGGAGACTTGGGAACAACTGTTTTTTATTCTTCACCCACATATTTAGATCTCAGGATACATTAGAGGACATTGGGACATTATTAACTAGTAGGTGCAGATGTTGGCTATATTACTGAGGAGAAAGGTCAGTTGGGATAAGATGCTCTTGGACAGATATTTAGTCAATTTCACTTTCCCTTCTTATCTGTAAATGAGATTGATTAAAAAAAAAACCCACCTCATTGTATGATATCCCACATATAGCTTCTATAATCGCTTTATTTTTCCTTTATCCTACTAAAAGTAACATCACACACAGATATTAAACGAGATGTGTGTGTGTGTGTGTGTGTATATATATATATATATATATATATATATATATATATACACATATTCGATTACATAGAAGTCCACAAGATATATTTTTGGTGAAAAAATACACAGTATAGAACAGCACTTATATTCGATCACTTTCATTATACATATATCTATTTGGGCACACAGGTACAGGCAAATATCCAGAAAGACATTCATCAAAGGGCTGACAATGGTTATAACAGGGGTGAGATTTCCAGGTAATTTATACTTTCATTCTTGTATTTTTCTTTATTTTTGAAAGGTTTAAGATACTCTTCATAAACAGAATAAAATCTTCAAAGAAAGACACACAGAGAGAATAGGCCCTTAAGCAGGCTGAAGAGGGAGCAAGGACAGAGGTCAGGGCATCCTTCTCCACTGCACTGGTATTCACAATCTCATTTTATTCCCAAAGGAAAACTTCATTGTGGATTAATTCATGCAGGTAGAAGCACCCCACCCCCACCCCACCTGCAGTTTCCCAAGCATCAGACTCTGAATACAGTTAAGGGTTCATTTAGGGCTGGGTCTAGCACCATACTGTGGCTCAGAAGGATCCTTGTGTTCTCGAAAGACCTCCCTTGCCCTCTCCTCTGTATGTGTTAGCTCCTGCAGAGTGATGATCAGATTCTCAAAAACCTGGGCCTTGTTGCTTTCATTGACACAGGTTTCTTTTGAATGGCCCTCCTTACCACAATAGGAGCAGCGAATTATGTACTTTCGCTTCCTGATTCTACGAATATCCCCAGGACCATCATTCTTATTCCCAGAATGGCCACTGGTAGAAGGAGATTCAGGCCCATAATTACTGGGGGGATCAATGACCACAACTTGGTCCTGAGATCTGGCCCTGCCTCTGGGAGGGGTGCCTGAGGATGACAGTGGAGGGTCCCCAGACTCCACCAGGATCACATCCTCATCTGAGTCATCAAGGGTATCATCTATCTCTATCACGTTGCCATTGTAGTCTGCATTACTGATCTCTATTGGCTGAGGGCCCTGAAATGCCACAGGGCTAGCTGCCCTCTCCATTACTGGCTCAGATCTTTTGGGTCGCTTCCGTTTAATAAAAGCGTCATCCCAATCTTCTTCCTCCCTTATCATCCTGATTAACTCCAGGAAATTGGGAAGATGCTCCTGCTCATTTGCATACATCCTGAGAAGATCCTTAAGCCTGAAGCGCAGGTCTCTATTCAGCTCAGCCCCTGCCAGGAGCTGGCGCAGTCGAGTCTGGTTTGCATCTTTCTCAGCTAGGATGCCTGCCTGAATAGCATTCTGGAGCTGCACCTCCAGACGGATCACATAAAGGGAGGCTTTCTCCCCTTCCGCCTGCAGGGTGTTAAAAAAATTACCATGGGCGGTCACATTGCTCTGAGACTCCCCAAACACCAGTTTCATTGCTCGCAAAAAATCCGACACATTCAAGTTGGGGTTGGCAGCCTGGAGCAAACGCATGACCTCCCGGGCAGGGCCCCTAAGGGTTTTCATCAGGCGGTTGAGCTTTTGTTGTTCTGACATATTCCAATCTGGCAGGACCCCATTGACTTGGGTCAGCCAGTTTTCAAAGGTTTCTTCCCCCTGGGCTGGCACCACCCTCCCCGAGAACAACTTCATGTTTCTTTCTGCCATGCTGATCATTAAAGGACCGAGACTCTGCCCCAGAGACCTCAACATCGAATGGGCCCAAGGAGGTAAAGGCACATTCTGCCGCCGGCTGTTACCCACATGTGTAATGATGTTAGCCATGACTCAAGGCGATAGGGTATCTTAGTGCAAGATGCTCAGGCTTTTCAAAAAGCCTAATTTGCAGGAATACCCAGAGCAAGTTTCCTGGACCGAGCCTTGTAGGGACTGTAAGAGGGAGAGAAAAAAAAAAAAGTCAATAAAGTTGCAGGGATCCCAGTCTGCTGTAGCATTCTTTAAGCTCTTGAATACCCTGCAGTAGGTTTTATCTGCCCATTGCCCTAAAAAATATCCTTCAGGAGATTCAAAATAACAAAATAACAAGGTGTCCCTGCGCTAGACTTTTTTTCAGTCATTATCTATATCCCTTCCCACCTGTCCTCCAGGAGGGGCAGGAACTGTTGCTTAGAATTGTAGGTAAAAACCTTTGAATCCAATGTTGAGCTCTCAAAAATAGAGTGCAACGGTGTAAGTCTCACAGATTTATGATAATAAGTAAAATATCCATTGATCTGATGGTCTTAGATCTCAATCACACCCCTTTCTCAAAGTCTACCCTGTTTTGGATTCTTACGCGTGCTGGGAAATTAGTGCTTGCCTTTATTTCATGTCCGGCCTCTGCAACAGGTGTCTTCAATGAGAGAGCTTGTCTCCCCAGTATGGCCGATCTTTGTCCACAGGGGGTCGCAGATCCGGGTGCTCTGAGCTTGGAGACTGCGCCACTGCGAAGGGATTGGAAGGGTCAAAGACGTCAGAAGCAGCCTCACCCGTCATGCTGCTACCCGCCCCCACCTCCACTATCACCAGGCAGAAAATTCCTTCTCCTATCTTTTGAATACCCCCACCCCCATTATACCCGCCCCCCCCCGGGAAACCATAAGCCTACCAGTTCTGCAATCAGACGCACAGAATTCAAGTTCAAAATTGGCTTTGATGGGCCGCTATGGAGAAAGGGAATAGGAGTTAGATATCCCCACACCTCCGTATTTCATTTCAGGAAGAGATGAGATGCAAAGGGGATTCAAAGACAGCTTGAGAATCCTCTTTCATGCCCCTTGCCACCTCCCTAAAAATACCCCCTCCCCAGCCCTGGCAAATCTTACCCAGTCGCATCCAGGTGAACCCCACCTCCTTCCTCAGTGCAGCCAGGTCACGGGAGTGCGCCTTCCCCTGCTTTGCAGATACTGATTCTCCTAAGCCGGTAGCCGCCCGGCTCAGAACCGGTGGGCCTTCACTCTCTATTCTCTGCGTCATGCGAATTCCGCATCCCCCCCCCCCCCCTTTACCTTGGCTCCGCAGGTGGGCAACGGATGCTCTGGAGTCGCCTACAGTTCGGTTTCACCTTCCAGTCTCTGTGGCCCTGCAGGGGAAAAGGATGGCGCCTTCTCGGCTGCTAACGAACGCGGGCTGCCAGACTCTGCCAGCACCTCAGCAAGGCTGCCCAGAGAGGGGCGGCTGAGTCTAGGCAGCGCGGTTTCCAAGGCAGCCGCGGCTGCCCCCGCCCTCCGGCTCGGCCTGCCTGCCCAGCAGCGGCGGCTGCTTTTAGCCTCTGCCCATTGAGACAAAAGAGTGTGACGATGGGCGGCGTGGCCAATCAGCGGGGCGCGGGGGCCGCCTCCCCGCACAGCCAAGGGCCCTGATGCTCAAGCTAGCAAAGGGGGGAGCAGGCTGGCGGGGGCTGCGGCAGACAGGCGTGGGAGCCAGCGCGGCGTCAAGTGCAGCTCGGACCCACGGACCGGGCCCATTTACATTTCACTCGTGAGTTTGCTACTTCCTCTCACTTCCCTTCTTCCAATCCCCTTCCGCCTCGGCTGTCCTCTGCTCTTTGAGACTGGATGCTTTAACACGAGGTGGGACAGAAAGCAAGTGAACAATGAGAGTTCCTCACCTTTGTATAGAGGGAAGGGGGTGGGTGGGAAGCATCTACTTTTTCCACTTTCCATGTCCAAGTGCTTTCACACGGGCATCTCATTTATTCTTCACAGTCTCCTTGAGAAGGCGGTAGCAGTGTGACCATTTAACAGAGAGGGCGACATAAACACCCAGGCAGTACGGTTAGAAGTGCAGAGCTAAAGCTGACACTCAAGTCGTCATATCTGACTTCAAAGGCAGTTCTTTGTAAACACTCCTTTCTGCCATCATATTAAGGGTTAGTTGTGAAAAGCCTAAGTGGGCACGAGAGGACCAATTTGGGCTGTATAGAATTAGCGAGCAAAGACTGTTATCTCCGTTTTACAGATGAGGAAATTGAACCAAAAGGAGCTTAAGCGTCTTGCCCTGTATCCTGCAGCAAATAAGTAGCAGTGTCTGATTTTGCACCCCAGTCCGTTGTTCTGTTGATGCCAGGTTTTTGCCCTGCTGTGCTGCCTGGAGAGCATTTTATGTAAGTAGTGTCAAACCATTTCAACAGCAACCTTGGTGTGATGGTGGTGCTGAGGGATGGGGTGAGGTGGGAATGGGGAAAACAAAAGAAGAGGAAGGCAATCTTTATGGTACCCATTGTACAGAAGAGGAAACTGATGCACTTTTCTTTTCCTTTTTTTTTACACTAGATTTTACCCCACAACAAGCTGGCCAGTTTATACAAATAACATTATTTCTATAGCCCATTATGACCCCCAAAGGAGACAAGGCTCAGAGAGATGAAATAACTTGCCTAAAATTATCAGGTGAAGTCAAAATTTTGAATGAGTCTCTGAATACAGAATTCATGCTATTAACCAAAATGTGGGTAACCAGGCTGGCTGCCTCAGAGTCATCTTGGAGACCTTTGCAAGATGCAGATTCCTGGGCCATGTCTGGGGGTTTTGTCAAGGACTAGAAGTAAGCAGTGTGATCTGTATTTTTAACCATTGCTGTAGTTGATTCTGAGGTGTAGACCACTGTTCTAAGTGCCACACCATGCCGTAGGTTGTAAGTAAATGGGCCTGTCATCAGTATATTTGTCCAGAGCATACCTGTCATGAAATGTTACTCCCAGGCAAAGGTTCCTTCCTAGGGTCCTTCCTGAAATTGTATGCAAAGAATTTGAACTCTGTGTTTTTCTGAGTCTACAGCTTTGTCAATGTTTGAATGGATCCATGGCCCCAAAACAGTTAAGAACCACTCTGCAACAGTCTTTCTTCATGACATCGTCCTCCTTCAACTCCTGCTTGAGGAAGAAGTGTGAGAAATGAAACACTATTTGACCTCACCCCCACACCACAGCTCTGTGCCGCTGATATAGCTCTTTCATTTCCTGGCTCAAGGATAGGTTGCTAGGTTGCCCTTCTGTGAGCTCTTCAGGAGACTTCTCCTTTGCTGGCTTTGGCATCACTGGCCCCAGAGAAGGAGCAGCTCCATGGAAACGGCATGCAGGGCTGTCCAGAGTGAATGGGCCATGAAGCCAGTGGGTAGAAAACCTGCTCCATTTTCTTTGACTTCTGGTTCTTAGAGAGCAGGTATTACTTCCCTTATGTAGCTTGTGACCAGGAGGCCTTGATGGGACTTGTTCTTGATTCCTGATGCTTGGAAATAAATGAGCAGTTTGATGGTGTTCAACCCTGTTTGGTTCCGCTTCAACCTATTGAGGTACTTCACCTGTTTCTTTCTGCCCTCTTATTTATAACCTTGTTATCTGGAATTTCTTGGAATAACCAATCCAGATTTGGAGGGGGGAAGCACCTTCCATTCCAGAATTGTGGCCTTCCTCTTGGGGATGGAACAGTGTTTTAGTGGTGGTAGAAGGTGGAAAGTGCTAGAGGCACAAAGAAGATGGATTGTGCATCTTGCACAGGCAGGGGTGAGGCTGGCAGTAGCAAATGGGTATCCTTCAGACTCTTGCTTCTGCTCCCAGTGCTATGATGTTTGACCCTGGCCTCTCAGCAGACTCATATTCTATGTTTTTATTGGCCTTATCTCTAAATTGTGTATATGCCGTTGGACCTGGTGAGGGTGGAAACAGATAGGACCAAGAATATATCTCAGTGTTCTGACAAAAATACTAAAGGCAAATGAATTGTGTAAAGGTATAGGATTGGGCCATTAGAGCAAAGTAAGGGTCTCTTTGAGCAGCCTTGGGAGCAACATTGCAAATTTGCAAGTCCACTCCAATTGGATACAAAGATTCCTTATTTCTGGCCTCATATGTGGGAGTGTGTTCCAAATGATGGTTCTAATGAGACCATATTTTCCAGTTTCAACAAATAGGCCTTTTAAAAGCTTGAAGGTTAGGAGATAAAGCTCTCAGATGATACAATAATAGCAACTTTTGGCTGCCTGCCTCCTCCTTGCCAGGAACTTTCCATCTGTTATTTCATTTAAGTTTTTCAGCAACCTTTTTGAGACAGGTATTGTGATCCCATTTTGTAGAGTGGGAAACTGATTTTCAGGGAGGTTAAGTAACTTGTTTTAGGCCACACAACTTGAAAGTAGAGCTACTGGACTCTAGCCCAGGGCTGGCAGGGTCCAAAGCCCATGAAAACTCTACTGTCTTCCAAACAAGCAATTTAAAATGCATTCTGCAGAGCTGGTAGAGCACTTGCCTAGCATGTCTAAGGCCCTGGGTTGATCCCCAGTATTGTGGGGGAAAAAAACATTTGCAGATGACCCCTGCATACCACCAATGGCAGCCTTTGGAATCATTTAGTTGTAATCTTACCTTTTTGATATTATCTAATTTTTTTAAAAAATGAGACTACTAACATCAGTTATGGAGCAACTTATATCCTCAGATGTTTTTGTTGTTGTCTGGTACTGGGGATTGAAGCCAGGGGCGCTTAACCACTGAACCACATCCTCAGCCATTTTTAAAATTTTATCTAGAGACAGAGTCTCACTGAGTTGCTAAGGGCCTTGCTGAGAAGCTGAGGCTGGCTTTGAACTTGCAATCCTCCTGCTTCAGCCTCCCAGGCCACTGGAATTACAGGTGTGTGTCACTGCACCTGGCTCCCCAGTTTTATATGATTCATTGCATGCAAGCTTTTTTTTTTTTTTTTTTTTTGGTACTAGGGATTGAACACAGAGGTGCTTAGCCACTGAGCCAATCCCCATCCACAGCCTTTTTTAATATTTTGAGGCAGGGTCTCACTTAGTTGCTTAGGGCCTTGCTAAATTGCTGAGGCTGGCTTTGAACTTGAAATTCTCCTGTCTCAGCCTCCTGAGCCATGATGGGATTACAGGCATGGGCCACTATGCCTGGCTCATGCAACTTTCTTAACAGTAGTTCATAAATAATGACACTAGGACTCGAGAAGGTTAGGAGGCTTGGCTAAGGTTCTAAATTTAGGAAATGGCAGAGTGAAACTCAAACCCCAGGGCTGCCTGACTGCAAAGTCCATGTATGTTCCCTGCAACATGCTGCAGTGGGGAAAACAAATATGGCCGTCATTCCATATTGGCTCCTCTGTCAGCCACGGCTCTGTCTCCTTTCACTGTCTGCTGCCAGCCACAAGCATAACTCACACTTTTTTTTTTTTGGTACCAGGGATTGAACTCATGGGCACTCGCCCACTGAGCCATATCCTCAGCCCTATTTTGTATTTTATTTAGAGACAGGGTCTCACTGAGTTGCTTAGTGCTTTGCTTTTGCTGAAGCTGCCTTTGAACTCGTGATCCTCCTGCCTCAGCCTCACTAGCCGGTGGGATTACAGGTGTGCACCACCGTGCCCGGCTCCACTCATACTTTTAAGTCTGTGCTTTAGGCCTCTTCCTCAGCCTAGACACTTGCCCTCAATCTTCTACCTAGCAAAAGCCTACTCACTGTATAAGGATTGAAATCAGATGCCTTTCCTCAGAGAAATATTTGTTAACACATATTAATTGTACATATTCATGAAATTCAGTGTGATGTTTCCATATATACATACAGCATAAACTGATCATATCCACCCACCCTTCTTCCACCTTCCTCTCACCCTCCCATCCTCCCCAACCTCTAGTAATCACTATTCTACATTCAAATTTACATTTTTAGTTTCTACATATGAGAGAGAACATGCAGTACTTCTCTTTCTGTATCTGGCTAATTTCAAAGAATATCCTCCAGTTTCATCCATTTTGCTAAAAATGACAGGATTTCATTGTTCTTTATGGCTGAATAATATTTCATTGTGTATATACCATATTTCTTTATCCTTTTATGTATTGATGGGCAGCTAGGGTAATTCCCTGTCTTGGCTACTGTGAAGAGTGCTGCAATAAACCTGGGCATGAAGTACTTCATTGGAATGCTGATTTCATTCGCTTTGGATATATACCCAGGAGTAGATAGCTGGATCATATGGTAGTGTTATTTTTAGTTTTCTGAGGAACCTCCATATTTTCCATAGTAGCTGTACTCATTTATGTTCCCACCAGCTTTGAGTGTCCCCTATCCTGAGTGGAACACATTGTTCTTGTCTTTCTGCTTCGACTTTGATTAGTGTCATTTTGTCTTCCAGTAAAGTTGAGCTCATTGTTGAGCTGTCTCACCCACTGAATTTTCAAGGCCTTGAGAGCAGGCACCCAGTCCTATTCATCTCTAGCTATGCAGTAATTTAATGGCTTAGAAGATGATCAATACATGTTTGT